TTCATGGGCTGAAATAGTGCACAGCAAGCTTATTGGCATGTTAACGAACATGTTCTATCAAATTCCAGATGAGCCTGTTGAGGCTGTTTTGAGGTCTCCTGTGTTTCTCATAGACCAGGTTGATTTAATTGGAGGGATTGAGTTCATTTTCATTGAGGTATGCGATCTGTATGTTGCGAACTCGAAATACAATGGAAGATAATCTAGTGACACAAGCGGTATCCTTAACCTTCGAGAATTTTCTTGTTTTGCAGTATTCTCTTGCCAATTTGAGGGAGGATAGAAGAAACCTCTATTTGGTTCTTTTTGATTATGTTTTGCACCAAATCAATCATGCATGTGCAACTGCTGGAGTTTCAGAGTATAGCAGTGACGAGATCCAACCTCTTGCAACCTTATTTTCTCTTGTTGATGCACCTGAAGCTTTCTATATTTCGGTTAAACTTGGGGTAGAAGGGATTGCAGAGCTTTTGAGAAGATCAATTTCTACCGCGCTCTCTAGATATTCAAACAATGAAAGGTTAAATATGGTAAGCTTGGTGAAGTTCATATGACTGTTTGGGTCTGCATTCTATGCTTCTAGTATGTGCTGTGGATTATTGTCTAGGATTTATTGTGCATATATACACATATATTTATACTTTTCGGGTACCCTATACATAATTTTAATCCTTTTTTATATTCCATAATTTTAATCCTTTCATTTGTTAAAAAGGAAATTTTATTATCAATTGTTTATTGATAACAAGAAAATTATGCAATACGTCAAAACGGTTTACCATTTACTTTTAGAGTTTTGACAATTATATTACAGTTCTTAGTTTCTCTCTTATATGTCTATCTTTTAATCATTAGGAATATATTGATGAACGAAAGTACTCTGATTCAAGTTAAACTTTCTGTTTTTATCATTATATATTGGACCATTGATAGAGATTAAATTTTAAAATTTGATTTTACAGTCTCATTATAGACTAGAGGGTGTTATATGCACTTTATTAGAATATTCCTTTGCTACATGGCCTGGCCCATCTAGAAATGGTTTGTTAAGTTCGTAATTGTCTCCATCTGATTGTGTCCCTTCACTTGTGTGTTGTCATCCTCTCCTTATTTGCAACCAAAAGTTCTCTTCCCGCCTTCATTTCCATGCATTCCTTATTTTCACTTTGATATTCAGTATCTGGTTTGATTGATTCCACAGTAGAACTTAGTATATGGAAATTCAATGAATTGAGAGTCGTTCAGATTACCTGAAATAATACTCTCCATTTTAAGTGAGTTTTCATTTTTGCAGCTCTTGAAGAATATAACAGAGACATTTGATATGGTAATCAGTTCTTTTACTCGTGTTGACAAGGAGTTCTTCCATCTCATACAATTAACCAAGCGCGACAAATTTCTAGAAGGGATTCAAAGTGAGAGCCCACGAAATGGCATTGTCATGAAAGCTAAGCTCTCATGGGCCACTCTGCACTCACTTCTTCATTCTGATAGAATCGCATGTCGTCAGAATGGCTATATCTGGTTAGGCGACTTGCTTATTTCAGAGATTAGCGAGGGAGGAGAGGTCAGAATGTGGTCAAATATTAATGCCTTGCAGGAGAAAATCACACTTGCTGGTGTCTGCGATGATATGGCAGCTGCTGAAGATGTCCCTCTGTCCATTTGGCTGATGTGCGGACTTCTTAAATCCAAACATAACGTTATTAGATGGGGTTTTCTCTTTGTTCTCGAACGATTTCTCATGAGCTGCAAATTTTTGCTGGATGAAAATGAAATGCAACAGTCTGGTGTTGGTAACATTTCCCGTGGAGATGCAGATAGCCGGCTTGAGAAAGCAAATGCAGTTGTCGATATCATGAGCAGTGCCTTATCCTTGGTGGCCCAGATTAATGAAACGGATCGCTTCAACATTTTGAAGGTACATTTTCAGTCAACATATAGTAGGTGTTAGATTCCTTATGTCTATTGATGTTGGCTTGTGTTTCAACCTTCTGGATATGTATGAAGTTGTTGTATGCATATCTCCTCTGTTATCTTCTTCAAAATTATTATGCCTCAGATGCCTAGGAGGTCCAGAGATGCCATCCTCTACTGAACATGGCTCCGATAAATAATGATGATGTGTATACTAACTCTTTGCTATTCGTTCTGTAGTAACAGTTGGTGAAAGTAGAGTTAGATCACTTAGACTGTTCTCTGCAACTAATTTGGTGGATTGCAAGCGTCCTTCTTTGACAGCCAAGTCTAAAATTCATATTGCTTTGAGTGTTGCTATATGATAATGGTTATTGATGGTTACTTATCTTGTCTGTGCAGATGTGTGAAATATTGTTTTCTCAATTATGCCTAAAAGTTCACCCTATGTCTGCCATGCCATATGGAGAAAGTGTACGCAGTGACATAGTTCATGTTGGCATGGATAAAAGTGAAAAAGTCGATTCAAATGACCACCTTTCCCAACTAGAGAATCACTCGACAGATATTTCAGAGGAAAGGAATAGCAGATTCAGTTACAGTACTAGCAGTTCTTTGGTGCGTGAGACAGCTTCACTGGCTGCAATGCTTCTCCAAGGGCGGGCTATTGTTCCCATGCAGTTAGTTGCCCGGGTTCCTGCTGCTTTATTTTATTGGCCATTGATTCAACTAGCTGGTGCGGCTACAGATGATATAGCACTGGGTGTTGCAGTTGGAAGCAAAGGAAGAGGAAACCTTCCTGGCGCTGCATCTGACATAAGGGCTACACTTTTATTGCTTTTAATTGGTAAATGCACAGTCGATCCTTCTGCTTTCATAGAAGTTGGCGGGGAAGAATTTTTCAGGTAAAGACATACTTTAAAACTCCAGATCTGGATTCTACCCGTTATATTGGTTGAGCTATATACCCAGCATTTTCTGCTTCTGTCATTTGCCAGAGAACTTTTGGATGATACGGATTCAAGGGTTGCATATTACTCTTCGGCCTTTCTCCTGAAGGTACTACTGTTCCTTTGCCAACGTTAAACTTGTTTTTGTTTTAGCGTTCTCAGAAAATAAGCTTGTTATTGTTTTAGTGTGTTTAAAGTTGGTAAAATCAGAGTTGATTAGGTATGAGATATTTTTCGTAGTGGGAAAGAAGTAATTGATGAGATAGTAGATAGTTTGTTTAATAGTAGACAGGAGTTGATTTTGGGATATGACCATTATGTGGATTTTGGCAAAATTAGAAATGAAATTTTAATATTGAGGTGGCATACTTCGGGGTTTAGGGTGGGTGATTTTTCTAAAAAGTTAAGTGAAAGAGAAGTATGTTATGCTTAAGTTTGAGGAACAGAAACTTTTGATAAAACAAACACACCCAATTGAAATGCTGGGATCATGTTGTGTTGATTCAAACTAACATGCTTTCTTGATTTGTCAGAGAATGATGACAGGAAAACCAGATGAGTACCAGCACATGCTTCAGAATCTTATATTTAAAGCACAACAGGTAAAGTGTTCTCCATAAATTTTGCTACGTAACTAATGGAGAAATGAACTTATCAGTTGGCTTTCCTTTTATCCCATTTTCAGAGCAACAACGAGAAGCTGTTGGAAAATCCCTACTTGCAGATGCGTGGCATACTTCATCTGTCAAATTATGGGGTAATCTAATGGCATTCTTTATGGACCTTCTGTTCATTTTTATTCTTGGAGAGAGCAGTTCTGCAGTAGTAGTTGGATGCTCAATGATGTTGATGATACTTCCAACAAGCTTGGCCCATCGAGATCTGTTCGAAGTTTCGGAGGATAAAAGTGAATTGTGCTCAGCCTTCTTCGACAATACAGTGTGAGATCTGTCCCTGGTACTTTTTTTCTCTTCCCCCTGCTCAAACTTGAAAAGACGGCATTGGTGCAAAACAAGTAGGCCATTGCAATGGATTATTGTTGCAGCAGCAGCAGCATAGGTCTTCCTGCAAAGATGAATTCCCTTCCGTTCCTCCCTGACTTGGGAGTTAGTGGGTGTAGATGATAACCTTATTTTTCCAAGATTCCATGGCTGTACACTAGGTACTCCCTTTGTCATACGAAAGCTTTCAAAACGGAGAATGGGTTGGACGCGACTGTTGCAAGATAACCTGGAATGCTCCCGTCACTCCAAATTGCCATTTAATGTTGCAGACTCAGGACATTCAAAAACTATTTCCAGGTATGCCCCATGCATCTGGGCCATTTATCCTAACCTTCCTGTTTCTGTCTTTGCCGTAACAGGCATTCGATTGATGTTTATGTGCCATGCCGTGACATGCATTCTTTCTTTTGCAGTTTCCGGTGTGCAATGTTTATAGACAGAGGCCAACTTTCTGGGCAAAACTGATCTGTACAGAAACCCTATTCCTGCTGGCTTTTCATATTTTCAGAAAAGTCACAGACGGGGAAGGGCAACCTTATTCGTGCTGGCTTTATTTTTAAAACAGCCACCCATTACCATATGATAATAAGATTCCACACCTCTAATCCCTTTTTTGATCTCAGAGAGGTTTTTCCAGCTGAGGGGCAAAACCTCAAAGCAACGATGGTTGTAACCTGTAACATCATCATCTTCCATAGTGTGCCTGCCGGGTATGTTCTTTTTGTTTTCCTTGATTGTTCCTTGTCCCCTGTATTTTCTTAATTTTTGGACACTGTAAATATTCTATTGCGATTTTGTTGTATGATATCTCGTCGAGAAATTTTTTGTTCTTTGGTATTGAAATGTAATGTTTTGGACGCAATGAGAGGCGATTTTGAATAGTGAGATCATTTTGGGTTCACGTCGACCACCTGTTATTGTATTCGACACTCTCAAATAAAGAGCTTTGTGTACTTGCGTTTGGAGTCGGAGAGTGGCAAAAGTTCATAAGTTCCCCAGAAGCCGGAATCCAGGCAGTAACTCAACACCACAGGAAGCAACACAGCCGACGTGGAGGGTGTATTTCACTCGTCGGCTTGTTGCTACTGGAATTGTCCCACAACCTTTTCGCCACAGGCTACAGCGTGGTCTGTGGTCACTGGCACGGTGGAGAACACATATGTGCTTCAGCCTGTGTTCTCTCCGAAAGTTGTCTCGAATTGGATCGTTATTCGTTCGTCCAAGTTGAATGCCAACTGCAGAAGGAAACTAACAATTCTTCACTAAATCTCATCATTTCAAAGACATCGGCAAAGCAGATTAATTGCAAGAAACGTAGAAGCTCAAAGGAAAACTTTCGAATAATAGGGACTTGAAAGAGATGTAACGAATTAGAACGAATTAGAGTATTAGACTTCGGTGCAAAGAATTAAAAGTTAGGGAGTTAATTGTAATTGGTGGTGGAGGGACTATATGAGTGATTTACCATTAAACGGTTGCATAATATCAGTTGAATATTTAAATTCCCTCTTTCATCTTTCTTCTTTGGAACCTTCCCCATTCCTCCCTTCTGTCGAGAATAGATAGATCAATTTCCTTGGGCCAGTTGTGACCAGAGACTTCATGGTTTGAAGCTCCCTGAATCACTTTCCGTCCGTTGCTACTCTGCAAGCCTACAGCTCAAAGTCCCAGTCAGTGGTCCAATTTAGCCGTCCTGAAAAAGGGAATCAGTCTATCTCCGGGGAGGAGACTCGGAGTTGGAGATTCTGGTAAAGCTCTGAGCTTTATCACGCTGTTACTTACCGAAAGCCATCGGTGTTCAGAGGGTAAGAAATTGTACCGCAGCGAATTTGCCGCTGCTGATGAAGCTTTTCAGGCAGCTGCTTCCGGCCCGATTGGCCTGTGATAGCGCCATTAAGCGATTTACAGGTAATCCTCCAAGTGGACTCGCTGTCGAAGGTTTCTGCTCCTTTACCACATTTCATCTGTTAATGGCGCTTCTTTTCAAGAAACTCAATGGCCGTTTTGTGAAATCAATTTCGCATTTCCCCTTTTTGTTTCCCTCCAACTGACGATAGCTTTTTCGACATCACATTGGCAGGGTCTTCTTTCCGTTTCCTCCATTCTTCTGCTGATGGGTTTGTCGAAGTTCACTCTCCAGAACACGAAATTGTGATTGCTTTGGGAAGTAATGTTGGTGACAGGGTTCGTAATTTCAATGAAGCATTGCAAATGATGAAGAAATCTGGAATAAGCATCACTAGACACGGCTGTCTCTACGAGACTGCGCCTGCTTATGTCACTGACCAGCCTCGTTTCCTCAACTCTGCAGTTAGAGCCATCACCAAGCTCGGGCCACACGAGTTGCTGGGAGTGCTCAAGAAGATTGAGAAGGAGATGGGTCGAACGAAAGGGATAAGGTACGGACCGAGGCCAATAGATTTGGACATTCTGTTCTATGGCAAGTTCAGGGTCAATTCTGATGTACTTACCGTCCCTCATCAGAGAATTTTTGAGAGACCATTTGTAATGGCCCCACTGATTGATTTGTTGGGTTCTGATGTGGAGAGTGATACAGTTTCTTCGTGGCATTCCATGTCAGTACCTTCTGGTGGGTTGTTTGAGTCATGGGAGAAACTTGGTGGCGAAGGCCTCATTGGCAGAGATGGGATGAAGAGGGTTTTGCCTGTTGGGAAAACCTTGTGGGATTGGTCTGAGAGAACTTCTGTTATGGGTGTGGTTAATTTGACACCTGATAGTTTCAGTGACGGAGGGAAGTTTGCGTCTGTGGATGCTGCTGTTTCTCAGGTACAGTCATTGATCTCTGAGGGGGTAGATATTGTTGATTTCGGTCCACAATCGACTAGGCCGATGGCTGATAGGATATCTACTCAGGAGGAACTCGACAGGCTAATTCCAGTCCTGGAAGCTGTTTCGAAGATGCCTGAGATGACTGGGAAGCTCATATCGGTAGATACTTTCTACTCCGAGGTGGCTTCAGAAGCCATCAGTAAGGGAGCTCATATTGTAAATGATGTATCTGGTGGCCAGTTAGATGCCAACATGAATAAGGTAGTTGCTGACCTTGGTGTTCCTTATGTCGTGATGCACATGAGAGGCGATCCTACCACGATGCAGAATAGTGAGAACCTGGAGTATGGCGATGATGTTTGCGGAGAGGTTGGTCGTGAACTGTACTCTCGAATCGCAGATGCAGAAATGTCTGGTGTCCCAGCATGGAGGATCATTACTGACCCTGGAATTGGATTCTCCAAGAACACCACGCATAATCTGGAGTTACTCATGGGTTTGCCGAAGATTAGAGCAGAACTAGCCAGGAAAAGCTTGGCTATCTCTCATGCTCCATTGTTGATTGGACCTTCCAGAAAGAGGTTCTTGGGCGACATTTGCAGCCGGCCTTCTGCTACCGACAGAGATCCTGCTACTGTTGCTTCCATCACTGCTGGAGTTTTGGGTGGTGCGAACATCGTGAGGGTGCATAATGTACGAGATAACGTGGATGCTGCCAAGCTTTGTGATGCCATGCTGAAATGCCAGAGATAAGAGATTTAGTACTGCATGTTTTCGTGGTGAGAGCAACCTAACACGCTTCTGCGAGTCTCATCTCTGGGAGAACCACTGTGGCCTCCACCGGTTCAGTCGTGCAGTCGAATCACGACGGACGTGGAATGTAATGCTGAACCACTGAGGTAGATGTCTCAGCCATTCCTATTATGTTTGAACAATAGGAATGGAGATTTGAACAATAGGAATGAAAGCAGTCACTGATGGAGATTTGAACAAGTTGAATGTACGGTTAGGTTGTTTGGCTCAGAAATAACCGTACTTGATTCATATTGTGTTTGCTCTGCAGATTTGTTCAATGGTTAGAGAACCAATTCGCCTTCCGCTTTTACTGTATCAATGAATTGCTTCAAGGATTTGTACCATGGATTTGGTAAAAAAAAACCTACCATCATGGATTTACACACAATCCGTTGTTTTTGTAGTAAATTGTTCGGTTGAGGACTTGAGGTAGGTAGGGGAGTTCAAATAATTACCATGGTAATTATCAAATCAAAATTTTTAAAATTCTATTAATTATGAAATATAATATTATAATAAAACAATCCAAACTAAAAAAAATAATAAAATTAACCAAATAAAAGTTTAACTGGTTTGGTTAATTGGTTAACCAATATAAACATCACATTATCATTAAGTGAATTTTTTTCAGGTTAATGTATCAATTCACAATTTATATGATGAATAAAACATTACCCTGTATATGTGAAAATATATGTCAATAGTATAGAGTTAATTAATTGTTGTGATTGTGATAATTGAATCAGTGTCTTAGCAATTATAATAGCATGAAAAGACCTTCATTTTAAGTTTTCATCTAATATATTATATGAGTTTTTATCTAAATTGGGCATTCATATATCATGATCTACACTCTATATATACAAATATACAATATATGAACAATATTAAACTTTATTCTTGATGAGTCTAAATGGAAGGAATGTTTGACTCTTTAGTGGTTATGCCAAGTATTAAGTATATAATATATAATAAATATGTTGGTAATTACTTAACTAGTTAATTTGGTTTGATTGGTTAGGAGTGTCTAAAACCAACCGAACTACCTGAACCAAACAAGCTAAATTTTTGGAAAAAATCCAAAAGTACCACTGTTTAAAAAAAAATTCCAAAAATACCACCCAATCCCAAAAAATTCCAAAAATACCACCCTTTTTCAAAAACCGCCACCCCACCCTGCGGTTTACACGAAAACCGTTTGTCGGGGGCGCGGTTTTCTATGCAAACCGCGGGCCTAGGGGGCGGTTATAAATTTTTTTTTTTTGGACCAAACCGCTGGGTGGGGTGGCGGTTTGGGGTATCCGATCGACTCCTAACTTCGGCCGAAACTTCAAACGAACGTAACTTTGCACTCGGGTATCCGATCGATGCGATTCTTTTTTTCATTTCGCATAACTTTTCAAGATCTACAACTTTTAGTAGGATAAAAATTTCAAAACTGGAACTATTTGTGGATAAACGGGACCTTGAGAATAACTGTACCTTTACTTTTCACAAATCCATGTACATTTTGAAATTATGATTATATTAAAAGTTGTAGATCTTGAAAAGTTATGTGGAATCAAAAAACAATTCATGATATTCGGATTTTGGAGCTCAAAGTTATGGCCGCCCAAAGTTTGACGAAATAAAAAAAAGGCTCGTTCGGGGTGGCAAATGACGTTTTTTCGAGACAAATGCGAGGCCCCACAGTTTGCGGCTTGCAAGATATCAAAAATTTATTCGGATTCAAAAAATGGAGGCCGCAAACTTTTTGAGATCTTGCAAGCCGCATACCGCCGGGTCTCGCATTTCGTCAAACTTTGGGCGGTCATAACTTTGTGCTCCAAAATCCGAATGTTATGAATTTATTTTTGATTCCACATAACTTTTCAAGATCTACAACTTTTATTATAATTATAATTTCAAAATGTACATGTATTTGTGAAAAGTAAAGGTACAATTATTCTCAAGGTCCCGTATATCCACAAATAGTTCCAGTTTTGAAAATTTTATCCTACTAAAAGTTGTAGATCATGAAAAGTTATGCGAAATGAAAAAAAGAATCGCATCGATCGGATACCCGAGTGCTAAGTTATGTTCGTTTGAAGTTTCGACCGAATTTAGGAGTTGATCGGAAAAAAAAAAATTTGGACCAAACCGCTGGGTAGGGTGGCGGTTTTGGGTCAAACCGCCACCCCACCCAGCGGTTTGGTCCAAATTTTTTTTTATAACCGCCCCCTAGGCCCGCGGTTTGCATAGAAAACCGCGCCCCCGACAAACGGTTTTCGTGTAAACCGCAGGGTGGGGTGGCGGTTTTTGAAAGAGGGTGGTATTTTTGGAATTTTTTGGGATTGGGTGGTATTTTTGGAATTTTTTTTTAAACAGTGGTACTTTTGGATTTTTTCCTAAATTTTTGAACCAAACTAAACCAACTATCCAAATCAAATTAGCCAAATACTATCAGTTAATACGGTTGCCACAGTAACCACATCGTTTAAACACCCCTTGAGGCTAGAAGTAGGGAGGAAAATTTCGATCCGATTTGTTTTGTATAACATGTTTGGCTTAATGAGTATGAGTATCCTCTCGATCTGATTCGTTCTATTCTCGACTCATTTTTTTATTAAATTATATTGTATTGTACATAAATTGACTAAAGTTTTATTTTTCTTGTCTCATAGACTAAAATTTCAATTTCTTAAATAATCTAATTACATTTATCACGTTATAATTTGTTTCTTGATTTTTTAATGAAAATAAATACTAATATTTCTAATATTTCCTTTTATCTATTTATTAAAAAATAAATATGAATATCAAAATATTTCTAACATTGTCATAATCTAATCACATTTATCACGTTATAATTTCTTTCTTGATTGTTTAATAAAAATAAATATGAATATTTCTAATATTTTCTTTTATCTTATTTATTAAAAAATAATATGAATATCGAAATATTTCTAACAATGTCATTCTTGTGTCTAGGGTGCGCATTTCCTAGGGATGGCAATGGGTCGGGTTTTGTCAAACCCAAACCCAAACCCATGGGTTTATCCGCCAAAAAAACTCGGGGTAAAACCCGTTGGGTTTGAAAAACTCAAACCCAACCCAACCCACTGGGTATCCGCGGGTTCATGGGTACCCGTGGGTTTTTGTGGTAAAAAATTTACAATAACAAGTTTCTTTCAAAATAAAAGTTTAACATCAATTTTCTCATACAAATTAATCATACAAAAAAAAAACCAATCTAGAGCATATAAGCAAACCGCAAATGATCAATACAAATTGTTCAAAATTAAAGATAAACATCTATAAACAAAAGATTAATTGAAAGCTTCTTCCTCGTCAACTAAGTTTCTTCACTCTCCAGTTCATAATATCAACTTCATTCTAAACAATTAGAAAGAACAAATTATACATGTCTCCACAAACATAAAGAATATTAATTGTTTAAGGAAAATATATTATTTAGAATATTAAATATACCGGGAAAATAATTATATGTATGTGGGCGGGTACCCATGAGTCGGGTTTACCTAAACCCAAACCCGACCCGATGAATAGTGTAGCGGATTTAAACCCGAACCCGGCCCAAAACCCGTCAACACGGATTTTACCCGCATTGACCGGGTTGGGTCGGGTGGGTACTCGTAGGTTCGGGTTTTGTTGCTATCCCTAGCCTTTCCTAACCCTATCTAATATAAATATGGTCCACTGGGCTTCTTGTTGTGATTGGGCTCCTATTGGATGTTATTATGGCTGGGTTCCGAGCTCATGGCCATTATAGGCCCAATGTCATTCCGCTCAACTCCGGTTGGCAAGGCAAAGCTAAAATTGAAAAAATATTTCTACAAAAAAAAAATATATATTTAAACAAAGAATAAAGCACGATAATCAAATTCCATAGTCTAGTAGGACTGTAGGAGGAGAAGGAAAGCAAAATTTCCCGGCCCCAAAATCTATATAACGCATTCCCACTAGTACGGAGTTGCCAGATTCACCGGTATTCTCTATCGCCGTCTTTCTTGCGCCCCAAGTTTACAGCAACAATGGTGAAAACCAGCGATGACGTAGTGATCGGAATCGATCTCGGGACGACCTACTCCTGCGTCGCTATCTCCCGCTACGGCAAGACGGAAATCATAGCAAACGACCAGGGAAACCGCACCACCCCTTCCTCCGTCGCCTTCACCGCCGCCCCCAACCCCGAGCGCCTCATCGGCGACGCCGCCAAGAATCAGGCTGCTCTCAACCCTCGCCGCACAATCTTCGACGCCAAGCGCCTGATCGGGAAGAAATTCGACGATCCGGAGGTCCAGAGCGACATCAAATTCCTGCCCTACCCTGTCGTCAACTGAGAATAATTGAGAGATGAGAGGTTTTTGTGGAATGATTTTCTCATTGCCTTTTGCAGCAATGCTGCTGTATTATGTACAGAGTAAAACGAGCTACAGGACAAACTACCAATAACCGTCTCATCCATCTAAACTTGGACAAGTGGCTATCTCGTACTAGCTACAGCTAATAACAACAAAAGACTAAAAGCTGTACAACCTATAAACAAAACGCTATCGTTTGTTCTTCCCTTTGTCTTTCCTTTCCGTTGTAAAACGCTGCGTTCTTACTTTCCCTCCTTCTTCACTTGACCGTTGCAGAACAGGGGATTCAACTTCGTCTTCATCTTCTTCCTTGTCCATGGAGCTTGACAGCCCCCCAAAAGCTGGCGAGTATATGTCATATACTCCAGCTTGAACACAATCCATTTGAAGCGGTGTGCACTAAGTCCTTTCGTGAAAATATTAGCCAGATTACGGTCAGTACACACATACCTCAAATCTAATTTTACCCTTTCTCTTATGATGTGGCAGTCGATCTCTATATGCTTTGTCCTCTCGTGGAACACTGGGTTTTCTGCCATATGGATCGCTGATTTATTGTCACAGTATGCTGTTGCTGGTCCTTCGTGTTCAATTCTTAGATCTTTCAACACCTGTGTGATCCATTGGATTTCGCAAGACATTTGTGATAATGCCCTGTACTCTGCCTCGGAGGAGGATTTGGAGACTATTGCCTGTTTCTTTGCCTTCCAGGTGATCAATGAACTCCCTAGAAATGTGCAATAGCCCGTGATTGATCTTCTTGTATCAGGACATGCCCCCCCAGTCTGAATCAGTATAGCCTCTTATATTGAAATCTGTGTTTGATGCAAAGAACAATCCTTGGCCTGGGGTGCCTTTGAGATACCTCAGTATTCTGTGTGCTGCTCTCAGATGAGAAGCCTTTGGTAGAGCTTGAAACTCACATAGTTGCTGAACAGCAAAAGCTATGTTAGGTCTTGTTGTTGTTAGGCATCCCAACCTTCCGATTAGTGACTTGTATTGATGTGGATCTTCATATGGCTCATCACTGTATTGTGATAGCCTAGTCTTCATGTCTGATGGTGTCTTGCTTGGTTTCCCATTGATAAAACCTGTATCATTCAACAAGTCTAAACAATACTTCCTTTGAGTAATTGAGATTCCACTGCTGCTTCTTGCTACTTCGAGTCCTAGGAAGTATTATAACTTCCCAAGATCTCTCACTTTGAACTGTCTGGACAGGAAGTCTTTAGCCTCTTGAATGAGCTCCTCATTGTCTCCAGAAAAGATAAGGTCATCCACGTATACTAGAACCACTGCAATTCCTTTATCATTTTTCTTTGTGAAGAGTGAATAATCAGAATAAGATTGTGTAAAACCAAAGCTAATCAATGCTTCAGTTAGCTTGGCATACCGTTGCCTGCTAGCTTGTTTCAAACCATAGAGGGATTTCCTTAGTCTGCAGGCTTTACCTTCCATTCCTTCAATTCCTTGTGGTATTTTCATGTAGACTTCTTCTTCTAGGTCTCCATTAAGAAAAGCATTGCTGATGTCCATTTGACTCAAATGCCAATCCTTGACAGCAGCAACTGCCATGAGTATTTTGATGGTGTTGATTTTTGCTACTGGGGAGAAGGTATCCAGGAAATCAATTCCTGGTATTTGAGTAAACCCTTGAGCTACAAGTCTTGCCTTGTACCTTTCGATTGCACCATCTGCTAACAGTTTAGTCTTGAAGATCCATTTGTTTCCTATTAGTTTCTTTCCAACTGGGCAATCCACTATGTCCCATGTATGATTAGCAATCAGTGCTCTTAACTCTTCTCTAACTGCTTCTCTCCACCATTCCTCCTTCATTGCTTCATCAAATGTCTGTGGATCTTGTAGATTAGTTACTGCAAGTGAATAGTGTTTTTGTTGTTGACTGAGCTGTGAATAATTCATGTAGGAGGACATTGGATACTTGCTCTGAGAAGCTCCAACAAAGTAATCTTAGATGCCATAAGGGAGGATGACTTGTCCTGTCAGATTTCCTTAAGTGAATAGGTGATTGAGTAGGTTGATGTGCAAGGTCAGTCCCCCCTTCTCCTTCTGCTTCTTCTTCATTTTGGAACTCAGCAGTAGGGTCATCCATGGTTTCAAAGGGAATGAAACCAGGTGACTGTGGTTCAGTAGGAATCGTATGAACATTTGAATCATGACCTGTATGCAAATGATCATGTGTTGGGGTGTGGTGGTGAGGATAAGAGGGCAAAAAAGAAGGAGCAGAAGGAGGAGTGTTAGTGGCTAATGGAGATGGTGTTGATGGTTGTGGAATGGTAAATGGGGCAAAGGGAAAGATTGTTTCATGAAAAGAAACATCTCTTGAGGCAAAGACTTGCTTGGTGGTCAGGTCAAAAATTTTGCATCCCTTAATTCCTGGCAAAATGCCAAGGAATATGCCCTTCCTAGCTCTGTTGAAACTTTGTTCTCCTTGACTCTAGTGTGGCAGCATAACACAGGGAACCAAACACTCTAAGTGGTGTATAGTCAGGTGGTTTATTATAGATTTTTTCATAGGGTGTCTTGTTGTCTAGGATAGGTGTAGGGAGTATGTTCAAGATATGAACAACATAAAGGACACAATCACTCCATAAGGTTAAAGGGACATTTGATTGGAATCTCAAGGCTCTAGCAATGTTTAAAATGTCTTGATGTTTCCTTTCTACTCGGCCATTTTGTTGTTGCCTCTCTACACATGACATCTGATGTGAGATGCCATGATCTCTAAAAAACTCAGTCATGTGAAATTCTTTTCCTTGATCTGTTCTGATGGTTTTAACTGATTTGTCAAACTGTTTATGGATCATAGTGCAAAACTGTTGTAGAAGGGGTCTGGTTTCAGATTTGGTTTTCATGAGGTAGGTCCAAATAGCTCGAGAAAAATCATCTACAATGGTTAAGAAGTATGAAAAACCATCATATGAAGTAGTACTAAGGGGACCCCAGATATCACAGTGTATAATCTCAAAAGGTTCTTTGCTGCTATGTGAGCTTGAAGGAAATGGAAGTTTCTTTTGTCTAGAAAAATGACAAATTTCACAGTGATCAACAACATTCACTGGTAATGTAGGATTACATCTTTGAAATAACTTGGTTCTAGAATTAGACAAATGTCCCAATCTAGCATGCCATAGATGTGTTTCTTCACTTTCAGTTCTGTTGACTGCTGCCACTAGGTTGATTGCTGGTTCAGGATTGGGAATGGATGTTTGGAGTTGATATAATCCTCTAAGCTCTCTTGCAAAACCAATCTTCTTCTGTGTATGAAGGTCCTGAACAACACAGAAGTCAGACTGAAAGCTTAGGGTGATTGGTAGAGTCTTGGTTAAGGAACTAACAGAGATGAGATTGAAAGTGAAGCTGGGAATGTGCAAGACATTGTTTAGGGTAAGGTTATGGTTGATTCTCAAAGTCCCTATGTGTGCCACTGGAATTCTAGCACTGGTAGGTAAGGTAACAAAAAGGTTATCAACAGGATGGTGTGATGTGAAAAAGGAAAGGCTACAACACATATGATCAGATGCACCAGTGTCAATAATCCAATTATTCAACAATTCTTTTTGTTGACAAGCAGTAAAAGTGGACAAGATGAATTTACCTGCATTGTCTGGCATCTGATTAATGTGCCTTGTCACTGAATGAGCTTGAGGCTGCAGATTTGGCTGATTTGCTGTCTGACCTCCAGTGTTTTGTTGTAGCAGCTTCATCAATCTACTGCAGTCTTCAGCTGTGAGCTGCAGTGTGGTAGTGGTATTTTGGTTCCTGTTGTCCTGTTCAGTTCCAACTGGGAAGTTAGAACTTCCTTGTTCATGACTGCCACTAGAAGTGGCTGCTGCAGCAAAGTTTGGTCCTGCTAATTCTCCCCTCTTTCTCTTAAGTCTCCAGCAATCTGCTATCACATGATTAGTCTTCTTGCAGTAGTTGCAAAACAGATTTTGTTGGCCACCTCCACTTGTTTCAGTGTTCCCTCTTGATTGATTGTTTGGATAGTTTCCTGGATAGGTGTTCTGTCTTCCACCTCTTGGATACTCAGTTCTTTGTTCTCTATTCCTTGTTTGATTCATTGCAGCCAATGCTACTGAATCGACTCCTGTGTCTTCCTTAGTTGGTTGTTTGGGCATCTGTCTTTCCAGTTTGAGTGCATACTTGTATGCTAACTGGAGATTTGGAGCTGGATCCATCATAAGCAGCTGATTCTTGGTCATTTCAAACGAATCACTTAGACCAATGATGAAATCTATGGTGTGGTCCTGTTCCTCTGATTGCTTAACAACAGCATAAGCAGCACAACTCATAGTATTAGCTGTACCTCCACATTCACATGGTGGAATTGATTTGAATGACATATATTCTATCCATAACACACCCAATCTGTTGTAATAGTCAGTCACAGTACTCTTATCCTGCTTGCATGATGAAATAAGCCCTTTAACATGAGCTAATCTAATAGAATCTGCTTCTCCATATCTTTCCTGCGGGTCTTTCCACAGATCTTGAGCTGTTTCATTGTCCATAACAACCTCAGCTATGGAATCAATTAGTGAATTCAGAATCCAACCCATCACGTTGGTGTTACTCTGATCCCAGATTTCATAATCTGGTTCTGTCGGTTGATGCATAGGTAAGGTTCCATTAACAAACCCAAGTTTCTTCTTGGTTTTAAGTGCTATTCGCATTGATCTACTCCATACATGGTAGTTGGTTCCATCAAGCTTAATAGAAATGATACCTTGAGATAGGTTCTCATTCGGGTTGACGTAGTAAGGATCGACTGCTTGTCGTTGTGGTTGATGAGCTGCTGGTGCTGTTGCTCCAGTCATGGCAGAAGAGGTTTCATCTTGGATGGTGGACATGACGGCGCCTTGGAAAGGTCACTAAACCCTAAATGAGGTAAGCCAGAGGCTCTGATACCATGAGAATAATTGAGAGATGAGAGGTTTTTGTGGAATGATTTTCTCATTGCCTTTTGCACCAATGCTGCTGCTGTATTATGTACAGAGTAAAACAAGCTACAGGACAAACTACCAATAACCGTCTCATCCATCTAAAATTGGACAAGTGGCTATCTCGTACTAGCTACAGCTAATAACAACAAAAGACTAAAAGCTGTACAACCTATAAACAAAACGCTATCGTTTGTTCTTCCCTTTGTCTTTCCTTTCCGTTGTAAAACGCTGTGTTCTTACTTTCCCTCCTTCTTCACTTGACCGTTGCAGAACAGGGGATTCAACATCGTCTTCATCTTCTTCCTTGTCCATGGAGCTTGACATCAACAGAGACGGCAAACCCTACGTCGAGGTAGAGTTCAATTCCGCTCAGCCCCGAGGAAATCAGCACCATGATTTTGGGGAAGATGAAGGAAACCGCTGAATCGTACCTCGGGAATCCTGTTACCGGCGCCGTCATCACGGTACCTGCCTACTTCAACGACGCGCAGAGGCAGTCCACGAAGGACGCCGGGAGAATCGCGGGGCTCAACGTCCTCAGGATCGTCAACGAGCCCTCCGCGGCGGCGATAGCCTACGGTATGAACCACTAAAACGCTCTGAAGAGGAAGGCGGACTCACAAAAGGGTAAGATTCTGCTCTACGATTTGGGGGGCGGGACGTTTGACGTCAGTGTGCTAGAACTAGACGGCAGGGAGTTCTGTGTGCTGGCGAGCGGCGGAGACACTCATCTCGGAGGTGGAGATTTCGACCAGAGAGTGATAGCGTATTTCATCAATTTGATCAAGAGGAAGCACGATAAGGACATTGGAGAGGATAGCAAGGCTCTGGGGAAGCTGCGGAAGGAATGCGAGAGGGCAAAGAGGGTTTTGAGCAGCCAGAGCGAGACGAGGGTCAAATCGATTCCATTTCGCAGGGGCTTGATTTCTCGGAGCCACTGACCAGGGCGAAGTTCGAGGAGTTGAATCTGGACCTGTTCAAGAAGACGCTGGAGCTGGTGAATTCGACGTTGCTGGATGCGAGAGCTCGAGAAGGGGGAGATCGACGAGATCGTGTTGGTGGGAGGAAGCACCATGATCTTGAAACTGAGGGAGATGTTGAAGGAGATGTTCAACGGGAAGGAGCCCAACAAAGGAGTGAACCCTGACGAAGCTGTGGCTTATGGTGCTGCCATTTTAGGAGCCAAGCTTAGTGGACTAGCTACTAGATACGGTAATGCCAATTTCTCAATCAATTGTCATCGTTGTGTTATCTCCTCCAGTGGTCACAGTTGTTTACACATTTGGAACTACATTCTTGCATATAGATGATATTGCTCTATTCGACGTAACTCCCTTGAGTTTGGGGGGTTTGCATTTTAGGTGATCAGATGTTTACTGTGATCCCAAGAAACACTACGATTCCGGCAAAGATGCCAAAGACTTTGGTGACTACAGTGGACCAGCAGACCATTATGAGCTTTAAGGTACATATATCCTGCATTTTGGAGCAACGTTGATCTCTTAATCGAATTGGATCACATCTTCAGTATATTAAAACTTGCTATGAAAAAACATTCTCAGATCCTCCAAGGTGAAAGAACTCTAGCCAAGGACTGCCTTCAGCTTGGAAGTTGTACTTTTCGCGGCATTCCACCGGCTCCAAGGTGAGGTGCAATAATGATTAGGTTGCTTGTAGTTTGTTGTCATCATTTGGAACAACTTGTTTCAATGAACAAACCTTAATTACATTGAATAAAAACTATTTGTTAGAGGGATGTTGCTCAATTGGAGGTCACGTTTGAGGTCAATGCAGATGGAATACTAAGTGTAGTTAGTCTAAACAAAGCGACAAGGGAATCTCAAACCTTGGTTTTTGACGATTACAAAGGGAATTTGACAAAGGAAGAAGTCGAGAAGATGATAAGGGTGGCAGCGGAGACGGCCGAGGAAGACAAAAAGGCGAAAGAGCGTATTGAAGTGAGGAACCGCTTGGAGAGGTACATGTATGATGTCAAGCACGCTCTAGGTCTAGGCCATGTTAACGTCTGTTGGGATCAACGTGACAAGACCAATGTAGGGATTGCATTGAGAGAAGCTTCAGACTGATTTGATAGAAATGAGAGGAATCCATTGTCGTCCAAGGAAGATTTCGGGAGGACGATGAAGAAGCTGGAAGATGTATGGAACCCGATTATAAAAAAAGGTTTATATTTTGATTGATGACTGACACAGACATGGATCAAAACCTGGTAAGCTAGTGGTTGTCGCATTGCTTGTTATAGTCGTCAAGTAGTGTTTGATTTAGTCACGATTTGTTTATGTAACCTTGGTTATTGTAACCCCGGTTATAATAAACATTGGGTTCTTAATTTCGTCGGTGCTTCATATTCATATTAATCAACCTAATAATCTCCAACAAAGATGATCATCAATCATATTATGATTTAAATTTTGGATAATGTAGGATACTAATTATGGTTTGATAGGCGAAGTAACGTCAGCTAGTCGAAAGAATGTGGACATTGAAAGAAATAAACCCACAGCAGCCCCTGGTACTGTACACGCAGACACCTTTTACTGTACAACGTGACTGAGAATTACTGTTTCAAACTGGCGTGGGCTGGCGTGTGGGCTGTTGTTGGGTGAGGCCTCATTGGGATCTGACAGAGTTTGGGGGCTCGGTCGGGGTGGGACTGGTCGTTAGCTTCTGGTTGGCCTTAGTTGGGGTCGTTTGGTGGCCCGGACGCGCGTTGGTCATCAGAGATCGGTATGTGACTTTGCCCCTAGTGGGTGCGCCGGTCGAGGCTTAATCAGTTGCTCTGGGTGTTCTGCTCAGTGGAGAAATGAGTCGTTCGAGAGACAGAAAATGATTCTTCAGATACACAGAGATATATTGAGAGGGATGGGCTCGCGTTGTTCGATGCAGAGAGAGGCTTAGAGAGGCTGGAGGGTTTTGGGGAAAGTACTGAAGTGACTGAGCTCTGCACATCCAGACTATTTTTCCTATTCATTTAGACTTAATTTTACTATTCACCTGATAGTTTACTGTGCGGAGTCAGAGAAGCAGGAAGTGGCTGGTTGTCTTTGTTTCTCTGTGGTGATACAGACCCATGAATGAATTGTGGGCCATTCACAGAAACAGTAATGGGTAGTTTGACTGGATTGGAGGATGCTGAGAGAAGGGGAAAAAAGTTGCTGCAAATTGAAACTCAGTTCCACTCGCGTTGGTCACTGGGAGACTTTCCTCCATATGGTGCTTTCTGAGTGATTCGATTGCATGTCAGAATGCGGAGAGTGGAAGAGGGACGGAGGCCTGCTGATGGAGACCAGTTTTTGATTGATTGCTTTCGTTTCAAAGACTGAAAGGAAAGGAAGGGTTGCTATTTGCTAATGGAGACTAAATGCATCCAATATTATGCATTTAATTTTTCCCTTGCCTTTTCGTGTTCTAAAGGGGTTCTTGGGAAGCTGTGCATCCTCATAGAGAGGTAGAAAGGGGATAGATTCTCACGCTGTTTTAGGTGGTGGTGGTCTTATCGGCCTCTCCTTATTTCTTTCATTCCCGTAAATTTGTTCCGGCGGATGCAATGCCCTTTCCCCTCTCTTTCTCTCTCACTTTTTTCCCTCTCTTTCTATCCAACCTTTCTTTATCTGCAATGCTTTCTCACATCTCAGTTTGGAAGATGAGACGATCTCGAAGCGATCAAATGGTGGATTTGAGAGGACGAGAAAGAAGAATTAAAGAATGCCCAGATACTCGGGTAATATTCTGGCTTCTTCCATCTTTCTGTCGTTCATGATTTTGGTCATTTTTTTCATGGGTTCCTTCACAGTAAGGGTTTATTTTGATTACTTTTCAGCTGAGATTCCTCAAGATGAGGCAAACGGTGGGGAGTTGATCGATATGCAGTTGTTAAGGATGGTGAGAATTTCTTTCAACACTTGCCTTTTAGTTTCTCTTTCCTACATCTCTCTTCCCATCCAATCTGACAATGCTTCTTCTTCCCTCATCACTTGCAGTTGCAGGTGTTAAAAGAAAAAGAACTCCTCTTCTTGATACCTCTCTTTCTCACCCACAGTTTCAAAACCGCATCATAACGACGATGTTGAAGCTGACGGAACAACAAATATGGTGGTGGCCATTAGAACCAGCAGGGAGCGATGGGGGAATCCCAGAGCTGTGTGGCTTGGCCGACTGTCTATTTCTCTTTTCAATTTATTCTTACCATATCTGCGGGTTTCGGTGAGCGCATTCGCTATTTTGTTCTTCTTTTAATTCTCTACTCTCTATGGATTATGATTCCATTATCTTTACCCTTCAACTTGCAGATCTGCCGGACTGCTTGAGGGTTCGCATGATCATCGCCGTTATGTCGACGAAGGTTATTCTCTCTCCTTGATGGTTCTGTTTATATGTTTCGCCTCTCTCTACCCCTGTCATCTTAGCCAGTTTTCTCTTTTCTGCGCCATGGTTTGTGTGTGGTGGATGCGTAAGAGGGCGATCCTGTGTTTTGAAGTGGACAATCTCCTTAAACTTCGTAGCGATTGAGGAGGTAAGGCAGCTACAGGCTACAGATCTCATGCTCCTATATGCATTAATTAATTGTACAGTTGTGTATATTTAACATTAATATATTTGCTTCCCAAGGTGCGTTCTTGGATCATATAAAGTGCTTACTGTATGCAAGCTAGCTTTGTGAAGGAACTTTTTGGGGTGAGATTTCATGCAATCTCTTTGTAATTGTTTTACCTTTTCCTCTTTCTTTGATATAATACCAAGTGTGCAGCATTTCGTTTGTCGAGTTAGTACTATTACATGGTGATTTGAAATGTAAAGGATGTGTTTCGCACCTTAAGTTCATTACAGAAGGTACAGGTGGTTTTGATGTTTAGTCATTGGTATAAATAGCATCGTTCCTGGGTATTTACTGACTGAGAAGACATGGCTATTAGCTGCAATAATTTGTGGTTGTCAACTAACACCCTGTTTTCTTCTCATTTATTGTACCTTGATAGATAACTACATGGAACCATTACAGGAGGGTCTGGATTGGTTTGTGATGCCACTTACAAGCTACAAGCCCCAAAGGTTTAATTTTGCTCCTACGGCGACTTGTGACAGATGCTTTTAAACAATTGTGCTCGATTTAGGATATGTACGCCTTTGTAGTTTAGTAGATCTTGAATGACTTGGATAAGCCTACTAATAGTGTTCCTCATTCTCTATCAACTCTATGTGGGTTGATTAATTATTTCGCCTACTTAAATAATTGTTCATCGTTCCCTTGGTTTAATCTAAAGTTTTGCCAAGGTTGTTAAATAAATCTGAAATAGTTCATAGAAGGTAAGCAATGTTTGTTTTCAATCTAGAGTTTTGTATGCACCATCTCATAAAACGTGAAGAGAGAAAGAGATTATACTTAAATCAAGTTTTCTATTTAAACCAACCCTGTCAGTTTTCATTGATCTTTCATCGGTTTCAATATTTGTCTCAAGTATACACGCAGGGTGGAGAGGGTGGGATGGACCTATGGTTGCTGCTATTGCTTATATATATGTTGGATACTAATCGAATTAGTGAAGACAATGATGCCCATGAAATAGTGAAGACAGAGATGCTCATGAAAAATGCAGCATCCTTCATATCCAAGAATTACTTCACTATATCTATTCATTGATGTCTGATGTTTGTACTTTGTATAGGTTGCAATCAGTGTGTTGCATAATTGTCTGCAGGTCATCCAAGTTCTTTTAATGTGAACTGATCAACATGTGTAACATTTTGGTTGCTATATTATCTTTTCATGCTGAATTTATTAAAAATTACCCCTTTTGTATCTAACATCCCGGCGCAGAGCGCGGGTATTGAGAACTAGTATTCAATTATTCATGTTGTAACATATACATCTTGTATTTTACCAACTAGACAAGGCAAGAAGAAAACAACAAACAAGATATCCGCAGCAATAGTAAGGCGTTGCTGTTCAAGAATGCCAGAGGGAGCAAGCAGAGATGCAAAATTGCCACTCCCTCCACATCCTTTTACCCTGCTCGTCGTTACTATATATCAACAAGTAATCAGACTGTGCAGTAATAATCTTGTTCTTCCAGTGAAAAATATACCCCCCAGTGTGGTAGAATCTGCTTTGCTCATTCGATCTCCACGGCTGCATCTAGTTCTTCAGCAGTCAACTTCTGACCCCATACAATTTCTTCTCCCTGGACTTGAACTTGGCATTGAGCTCCGCCTGGCCCTTTGTCTTTCCCAAATGAATCGCCGCCATGAGCAGGTCTCCTCCCTCTGAAGCTTTCTCCACCACCACTGAGGTAATAACAGCAGGAAAAAAAGATGGGGGGAAAAAAACAAGGAAAGCTTCACCACTGAGGTAATTCACAGTGCCATCGTCTTCAGTACTTGGCACCTAATATTGGAATGTAGAGGGGCTATGAGAGACCAAGGAAAGCTTTGCCCTTTTACCTCTTGAAGTTGAAGGGAAGATTAGGCCTTCTCGTGTTGCTAGCAGCTGCAGGAGCTCGAAGAGGAGTGGGAGGCAGAACTTTTACCCCTATCAGCTCAATCCGTAGTGGCCTCCCATCAAGATCGACATTGTCGTACCTCATTATAGCTGCTAAAGCATCCCCGTAGCGTTCATACACAACTTCAGCAGTTCCCTACCACCACCACCACCACCACCACAGAGATAATAGTAATGCTGGTAGAGTTGCTACTAAATCACTGGAGGACTAGCCTTGGGGTAGGACTTAGGAGGAAGGTTACCTTAGGTCTTCCACTCTCGTCACAGTGAATTGAGTAACGTTTTAACTTCCCAACCTCGGAGAAAAGCACCTGCAACGAATCAACAATGGTTCCAAACCCAGAAATGATTAAGCCACATGACAGAACAGCAAGATCAGTTGAGCAAGAATGGTCTTCATACAGCACAAAAAAAAAAAAACCCCACGATGGTAACAGTAACTACGCATATGTCACAGGAAGGACGAAGCAGGTCAATGGTTTACAAGGGACTTCGAAGCTTCAATTATCTTCAAGGAATCCCCAAGATCAACAAGAAATTCGTGTATCAAAATCTCACCGCCATTCTTTCCAGTAATAAAAGAAGCAATCCATTGAAAGAGGGAACCAAGAAACGCAGTTTGATTACCTTAATGTCCTGACTAGTAACCCCATAATCCAGATTGGACACGTAGAGCTTCGTGCCTTCTCCTCTTCCATCAGCTGGGACGAGCATTGGCTCAACCAGCTCCATTGAAGCCTGCAAAAAATTTCGATGGAACAACTTAACTTAATCCATTCACTGAAAACCAACTCATAACCTCTATACTGTTACTAATCCAATTTTCTCCATTACGATTACCTTCCCGAAGAAATTCCTCGTCGCCGGTACCGAAGGCAGTAAGTAAGGGCTGGGCCCGAGAATGCCGCGGCCGCCGAACCGCCGATTTGGACCAACTCCGTCACCGATATGAAACGTCCGCCCTTCTCCTCCTCCGTCTCCGCCACCGCGTCCGTCGCCTCTGCTTCTACCTCCTCCTTTTCCTCTTCTTCCTGAACGGCCTTTTCCTCTGCTTTTGTTCTGGCGGACAATGTCATCAAGATTCATGTCCAGAGAGCTCTCCATTTCTGCAAATCTTGAACCAGTCTTTCTTTCACAACTTCTCTTATTTCCTGGCAATTTTGACACTGACAGGTAGCCTTGTAGTTGTAGAGTTGCAGGGTTTCTTTAGCTCGGCAGAAATGCAGGGGTTTTGCAGTACAGAGCTTGCGGGAGAAGTTTTCTCTCTCATGCGACTGTCACGTGTAATTAGTTATTACTCTCTCGTCCGAGCCGGGCCCAATCTCTTTTCTAGCCCAGAGAAATCCGCGTTGGGCTGAACAAGCCCAAATAAATAGGAAAACGTAGAAGCCCAAATAAGCCACCGCAACCACGGCAAACTCGGAAGAAATCCGTTCGACAAGACAAATCCATTTTTTCTCTCCGGTCAACGTCGTTGTAAAATTAAAATCCCTAACCCTCTCTCTCTTCATCTCTTTCCCGGCGGCGATGCCGAAGAACGACTTCCTCACGCCGAAGGCGATCGCCAACCGAATCAAGGCGAAAGGCCTGCAGAAGCTCCGATGGTACTGCCAGATGTGCCAGAAGCAGTGCAGGGACGAGAACGGGTTCAAGTGCCACTGCATGAGCGAGAGCCACCAGCGGCAGATGCAGATCTTCGGCCAGAACCCTCACCGCGTCGTCGAGGGATACTCCGAGGAGTTCGAGAACGGATTCCTCGACCTCATGAGGCGGAGCCACCGCTTCTCCCGCATCGCCGCCACCGTCGTCTACAACGAGTACATCCACGACCGGCACCACGTCCACATGAATTCCACCGAGTGGGCTACGCTGACGGAGTTCGTCAAGTATTTGGGGCGCACGGGGAAGTGCAAGGTGGACGAGACCCCCAAGGGTTGGTTTATCACGTATATCGATCGGGATTCGGAGACCATGTTTAAGGAGAAGATGAAGAACAAGAGAGTTAGGGCTGATATGGTGGACGAGGAGAGGCAGGAGAGGGAGATTCAGAAGCAAATTGAGAAGGCGGAGCAGTTGCTGACTGGTAAAGTAAGGGATGGAGAGGCTAATGATGTTGAATCGGGTGAATTAGAGCCTCCAGCTAAGGAATTGAAGCTTGATGCTGATGGGGTCAAGATTGGATTTCAATTGGGTTCGAAGGGGAACAATGGCGGGAAGGATAAGGGTGAGAGTTCGAGCTCAAGATTGGTTTTTGAGGAAGTTGAGGAGGAAAGAGAGGGGAAGAAATCGAAAAGTAATGGAAGCAACGGCAATGTGGGCAGAGGTGGGAAATCTGCGTTAGAGGAACTGATGAGGGAGGAAGAGAAAGTGAAGGAGAAGAAGAACAGGAAGGACTACTGGCTATATGAAGGGATCATTGTGAAGGTTATGAGTAAGTCGTTGGCAGAGAAAGGGTATTATAAACAGAAAGGAGTTGTAAGGAAGGTGATTGATAACTATGTTGGGGAAATTGAAATGCTGGAGAGCAAGCATCGGCTGAGGATTGATCAGGTTGAACTCGAGACTGTGATTCCACAGGTTGGAGGTCTTGTGAAGATAGTGAATGGAGCGTATAGAGGGTCCAATGCGAGGCTGCTGGGAGTGGATACAGACAACTTTTGCGCCAAGGTGCAGATAGAGAAGGGGATTTATGATGGCAGAGTGCTTAAAGCTGTAGAATACGAGGATATATGCAAACTTGCGTGATGAGTATGTTAGAACTCTCACTTAACCTATTTATTCATCTTAATCCATTGCTGTTTAGAAATGCATGATGTTCTGTGTTCATCTTTCTTCATTCTGTGAAGTTATTTGATGAATGAATCAGAAACTGGTGAAAGAGTTAACTTTAGGAGCAGTTTGTCCTGGTTTTGTTTACAGATTGTTTTTGTTGCTTTGTGAATAGCTTAGAAGGTTTGGATAGCTTGTGTTACGTGGTCTCGTATGTTGTTCATATTGGTTTCCCTGGGTTATTCTTTTGAGTTTGATGGATCCAGTTCCCTTTCCTGTGAGAATGATCTGTTCTATGTAGGATACTTATTTGCAGCATCCTTCTGTTGCTTTTGTTTATGTAACATTTTTCTTGTAGTCGCTTCTGTAGCTTTCTTGGCTGTCATGTATTCAGAAATTCTTGTGTTCATATTCAAATTCGTGCTCTCTCTGGTCAAGATATTATAGGCAGTTGTGTGATCAGCCATTTCCATTATATTTTATGACAGGGGGTTTTCTGTCGATTGAATCCAAACTGGACTTAGCTGAACCTTACGCACTGATTTGTGATGGATCTCAAGTTGGTTTTGGTTTTCTGTAATGCTGCTGCTACTTGAGGGAGATTTTTCTGATCTGGAATCTTGAACAAACTAGGGAGATTTAGAAAGGATGTTCAGTATGTCACATCATCAATCATGGTGACTGGAAAAGTTTCATCTTTCAAATTTCACCCGCTTCAGATAATCAGAGATCCATCTGCTTCAGTCCATTGAGTTGATTTCCATGGACCTGCGAGCGGTTCAAGCGCATATGTAAACCTTCTGTGGATTGAGAATGGACCTCCAACTCCGAAGGTCTTCTAGATACTGTCCATAGAGCTTTGCTGATAGCCATGCTTGAGAAAGCAATTGCCAATTGTGGTCGTTCTTGTGTGTCACAAATTAGTGCTACACATCAGATGTTCATGTTTGAATTCTTGACTGACTTCTCTATCAATCAACAAGAGTTGGAGGCGAGGCAACAGCTCCTCCTGCTGGCATCTAATGGATGAAGATTGCTGAATGCCTGAATGAGCAATCCCACATCGTCACGATGTGTAGACCTATCAACGTGCTAATAAATGTGTACTTTTCCAACTCCGTGACACAGCATATGTAGCACAATTTTTCTCGTATTGAATTAAATCGAGTCGAGCACTCTGCTACAATTCGATCAACTGATACTTGGTTTGATTCGAGGCTTATGCTTGATGAAAAAAATAATAATAACGAAATTATTGTTAGATCTAATTTAATGTGGCACGAGTTGAATCTCAACAACATTGTTTTGACAAAGGGTCACACTCTTTAAAATGAGAGATGGGTTGGGTGTCAGTTTGGTGAGGAGCGGGGCGTTGATCGAAATTCAATACTCTCCTCCCCGAAAATTAGCTCTCCTACCTCTCCAACCAACCGTTAACCCCATTATTGTATTCTCCGTCCGTCTTCAACCTCCAAGCCGCAAGCCCGCAACTCTTTTATTACTCCCCTCGCTTCTCCGGCTGCTTATCTCTGAGATCCAGTTCCCCATCTCCCCATCCTTCTTCTTCTTCTTCCATTCTCCCTTCGAAAGTCTAAACCCAATCTCAAGGGGAAGATAATTCTTCCCGGTCCAGGAATTGGGGAGAATCTTTGGCTGGACGGAATGAAGGTCACAGTGGTTTCTCGCAGCGGCAGAGAGGTCATCAAAGGAGGCGTCGACCTTAGCGATTCGGTACTTACTTCTACTTCAGTTCCCGCTTTGCTTCTAAGTTCTTTTCGTCAAGTCAAAATGGTTGGGCAGACAATGGGGGATCGGAGTTAAATGTCTATGATGTGGTTCTGGTATACTGTAGTGATAGAATACTGACGACTTCCAACTTCGCGGGTTTTCCTTTTCTTTCTATTTTATTTTATTTCCCCTTCTGGGTTATGAATTATGATGATGGTTTTCGGTGGTCTTTGTTTTGTTTGATCCCTTTACATTTGCAGGCTACGGTGGCCGATCTGCAAGAGGCAATTCATAAACGAAGTAAGTAGATGGAGACTCTCAGTTCAGTTTAGATTTGGGTGGGCATTATGATTTTATCAAAGTTTCCTTTCTATGGTTTCCTATGTCATTGTTTCAGTTGAGTTGCTTGTTACTTAGTTCTGCCATGCTTGCTGTCTCCAGAACCCAGCTGCTTTTCCCCCCTTCTTTTTCTAGCTGCTGAACTTGATATTGTTAGTTAGGCAACTCTCATGGAGGATTAATCTTTTATAGGCTGTCTAGCTGTGGAGTAAAATCTACTGAATTAGTAGATCAATCGGTGTTGCCTCGCTTCGAGTTTGAGCTGTTATAGTCTTTCTTAGTTACAAGTTTACTTAGTACGTTCATGCTGAAGATCTCACAAGACCAGTTCCGGTGGTGATGTATGTTGACAGAAATGGTTTAGTTGATCATGTCATCCTTGGTGGTCGTAATGCTCAATTGTGGCGTTCTCTTCATCTTCTACGAAGATATTTAGGGCTAGTGATTGTTATCACGTAGATAACCTGATCTATGTCGTTGTTCATGATACAGCTAAAAAATTCTATCCATCAAGACAGCGGCTGACCCTTCCTGTGCCATCTGGATCGAAAGAGAAGCCAACAGTCCTCACCGCGAAGAAAAGCCTTAAGGAATACACTGATGGGAACTCAGACAGCTTGACCATTGTTTTCAAGGACCTGGGTCCTCAAGTCTCCTACCGTACACTCTTCTTCTTCGAATACCTTGGACCTTTGCTACTATACCCCGTTTTCTATTACTTCAATGTCTATGAATTCCTCGGCTACAAGGGGTCCGAGCGTGTTATACACCCGGTTCAGACATATGCCATGTACTACTGGTGCTTCCACTACTTCAAGCGTATTATGGAGACATTTTTTGTGCACCGGTTTAGCCACGCCACCTCGCCTCTATCCAACGTGTTCCGCAATTGTGCTTATTACTGGACGTTTGGTTGCTACATTGCTTATTACGTGAATCACCCACTCTACACTCCTGTTGGTGACCTTCAGATGAAGATTGGCTTCGCCTTTGGTGCGCTTTGCCAAGTCTCAAACTTTTACTGCCACATCTTGCTGAGCAACCTGCGCAGTCCTGATGGAAGTGGTGGCTATCAAATCCCTCGTGGGTTTCTATTCAATATTGTGACTTGTGCAAATTACGCGACGGAGATTTATCAGTGGCTGGGTTTCAACGTTGCAACTCAGACCGTCGCAGGCTATCTTTTCCTTGTGGTTGCTGCTTCTATCATGACCAACTGGGCCCTGGCTAAGCACCGCAGGTTGAAGAAGGTAAACGATTGCCAAAAACTTCTCTCACTAAGCTACTAGCTAGATATCTTGATTGTGCTGTCGAGTAGTACACAACAAGAACAACTGTGTGAACACCCTCATCGATGTGTATTTGATTCTTGCAGCTGTTTGATGGGAAGGATGGACGACCTAAGTACCCACGCCGATGGATCATACTACCTCCATTCCTGTAGACTCAAATTGTTGCTCTACTCCCCTTTGTTGTTGGCTACTCAAGAAATGCTTCCTCGAAACTCAGAGCACTGACATTTCTTGTCTTGGTGGATCATTTTCTATGTCGTTGAAGATGGAAGGTCCTGGTTTTCCCAATCATCTCACTTGTGAAGTCGTTAAGCATTTCGTTAGAGGAATTGGTTGTTGGGAACCAGGGAAGTGGACGATCGGATCCTCCTTGGCGAGCTTTCTACTTTCAAACTCTCGGTTTAACGTTATTTATCCGAGGTTTCCTGTTTGTGTTGAGCTAGTTTAGACCGAAAAAGTTGTGGTGTCTTAATGATCTTTGCTGTGGTGTTTTAGTCTCTGCTCTCATCTTCCAGGATATGAATTATTGTTGTACTCATCTTTTAAGTTATGAACCCAGCTAGTCGTTGTATATCTCCTTGCACACAGATTGAAGAGAAACCAATAAAGCAGGGTATGTTAGGCTCACATCCGTAATGTCATCTCATTTTTTTTTTTCAATCACTTGTCCTGTATCTCATCTTCTAATTGTCGTTACCATGTCCATGTTTTGCATCTCATATATGATTTGCAGAGGGTTTGATAATGAATACTAATGGATCTTAGAACTTAGACTAAATTGCATGTGATCCTGCCTGCAAATTCTCTTTGAATTAGGGGTGTCCATTCAGGTTCGGTTTTTCGGGTTTACCAGAACCTGATCCGATTATATACATTTTTCGGTTTTTTGGGTTCGGGTTTGTTTCGAATTCGGGTTCGGTTTTGCTTATCGGTTTTTCGGGTTCCGGCTGAAAAAACCTCCAATGAATAGAATTCAGCCCGTATTCTTAGGCGTTCGGATTTTCGGGTTTCGGTTTTGCTTTAACCGAACCCGATAAAGATTTTTCGGGTTTCGGGTAACCGGAACCCGCAAGTCCTTGTCGGCTTCGGGTTCGGTTTTCAGTGATATACAGTTTCGGATTTTCGGGTTTTTTCGAGTAACCGAACCCGACCCGTACTGACACCCCTAGTTTGAATCTTGTACACTAATTAGAAACAATAAGCTATTCTATTACTAGTCTTCTCAACCGAAAGATAACTTATGAGCTGTAAGTTTATACGGATCCTACATTTCTTGTAGTTAAATTAAGAGTTAGGGTCATGGAGATTCAAATACAAGACGTCTCGATCAAACCTTGTTCATTGAGCTTAAATTAACTGATACGCAGAATTTATCAATTTATCTGACACGAATACAGCAGTAGAAGGCACCAATAACTGCCATGTGAGTGTGATAAAGGGTGGCTAAATGCAAGTGGTGGAAACTGGAAGCAATGATAACGATCGATGTGGGGAATCAAACGGAACAGTCGAATGATGGTCTGGGCTGGGGAGCTAAAGCGCACACACGCTGGTCTCATGATTGTCGCGTCACACACCTTCATGCTACTGTGTTACACCCTTTTCCCTCCCAAATCACATGCTTATGATTTTTGCCCCCCAAACTAACAGTATAGACTGAAAACATGTTTTCGTTATATTTTGTTGTTGTTGTGGTTGCGGCAATACCAGTTGGCAACACAATATAAGTTAGCCGAAATCACTTTAAGTACCTTTCTTGTAGCATCCAAAAGTTGTTTCTTGTGGGATTCTGTCGGTTGCTTGAATAACGTTCAAGCGAGTTTATGATTAAATCTCACTAGAACCACTTTCTATATGTTGCTTCTCTATATTTGTGCATAGCTCATCCACGAAACCTTATTGTCAATATTATTTTCATTCATTTATTTTTTCATCAAATTTTTCATAATCGTCAGGTCACACTATATCTTTCATTTTTTTCTCTTGCTTTTGTCTTTGTCACGGTATTGATACTGAACAATGTCTAAGAGAAGTAATCCAATACATTTTTATTTATGGTTGTCAACTTCGATAATTTTTCAATATTACCAACTAAACAGAATTATGTTTTCTATGTTCATATAGTTGTTATACATCTATTGTCACTTGTCACAACTCTACCGCAAACATAACTGTTAGTAGAGGTCAACTTTTGGATATGCTCATGAAATAGGATTAGCACATGGTCATAATATTGCTACCCTTGTTGGTGATTGTGTTTTAGAGAAGAGACAAGTACGTGTGTGGCATCTCCGGTTATAGCTATGGATCATGACTCCTAGACTTAAGCTCGTCATTGATTCGCTATCAACTAGCGGCGGATCTAGGGGGGCCGCCCCCTGGCCACGGGCCAGCCCTCCCCGGATCCAAAGCTCGTATTGTACTTGTAAATTTTCGATTTTGGGTATATATTTCAGTGTTCATTGGGTTATGGCCTAGCCCTCTCCATCGCTTTTTAAATGCGGCCCAGTGCTCTAACCTGTTCTGGATCCGCCGTTGATATCAACTTTGAGTTGCTTACACTAGGTAAAGGTTCAAATTGAGAAGTTACCTTTATGTATCCGTTACTTGTAGGGATGGCAATGGGGCGTGTTTGGGGCGGGTTTGCCTAAACCATCCCCATCCCCATCTTCAAATACCCAAACCCATACCCGCCCCATACTCATGCGGGGAAATGTTTTGCAAACCCATCCCCATATCCGTGGGTTTCGGGTACCCATGGGTAATACCCATACCCGTACATCCGACATTATTATACCTAAAACTTACCAGAAAAGTTTTAATTATAACTTTAAACGAACATATTATATCATGAAGTCAACAAATCACAGTCATTTTTTTAATATGGTTCAAAGAATACGATCCCAAAATATCCATTAATACATAAAATAGAGTATAATATTTTTCAAATTATTATGTTCTAACTCTGATACATCTACTAAATAATAATTAACTAACATAATCTTGTTGACAAGGCAAAAGTGAAAGAGTGAAATGAGAATTGAGAGAAATGAGTTAGGTTTTGATTAAGATAGTCACTCAATTGCATTTCTACTATTTATTTTATCAAGTTATCCTCATCATCATTGATAGATTATAATTTGATGCACATATTTTTTATATATGAAGAAATTCTCTTAGTGGGGCGGGTATGGGTATGGGGCGGGGGAGGCTAAAACCAAACCCGCCCCATACCCATCAAATTTTTTGCAGGTTTTACCCATACCCGGTCAAAGTGAGGATTCCCCGCATTGACTGGGTCGGGGGCGGTCGGATACCCGCGATCATGGGTTTGATTGCCATCCCTAGTTACTTGTTCGATACGGTACTTCCAACTCTTGTTGACTAAGTGGGAGATCGTTAGAGTAGTCAACAATGAATAAAGTACCACATTGGTGGAAGAAAGAAAGTGCAAGTGGTTTATAGCCTAACTAACTACTTTATTTTATTGAATAAAATAATAAGTAGGTTTTGGAGTGAGTGTGTGCAATTTAATTTGACATATTAAATCGCACTACGTTTGCGCAACGCGTTTGGATTTGAATTTTTGACTAATTAATTATTGGAATTATTTTTTATTAATTAATTCAGATAATTAGTTGATATTTTATTTTTGTGAAACGACATAACCCTTTGGAAGGGAACTGTCGTTTTCACAATAAAAGACTTCTGCAGCCAATCTTCTTTTCCAACGTTCATCTTCTTCTTCTCATTTTCCTTCTCCAAAAACACAAACACAGAACTCGGAAAAGTGTTGCTTTCGGATTTTGATTGGAGAGACTCTTGGAGATAATTTGCCTAAATCCTACTAACAATAATATAATGGGGGCAAATAACATTTTTAAGAATAGTGATCAAAATCACTATTCTTACTAAGTGGGGACTGGGGCGTGATGTGTGGCAAGCTAGTGACCATGTTGGCTAACTACCCAAAAAGCTACCATGACAGCAAAACTTGCTATGAGATCGTGAAAAAGATGAGCTATAATTATAAAGCTGTGAAATGGTCCATGGGCAATTTATTTTTTATTTTTTTTTTTGGTAGAAGGGAAATATTCAAAATATGAGTCAATCACTTGGCTTTCTACTTTCTAGCTCTGTGGGCTGCTGCTACGAGGTGAATATTCTATTTTCAAAAAGAAAAAAAATATTAAAGACAAATTGCAAACGGAAAATCCCAAATAGATTTAATATTTGCTCAGTTACTCCTATTATTATTTCAGCTCATTCAATTTTATTTGCTCTGTCCATCGTTCCAGAATCATCTTTTTTTTTTTTGGTTCTCTATTTTTTTTTTCGTTGAATTGTTCTCTATTTTTATTATCCAGAGAATGCAAAATAAATATATAGTGATCAAGAATTCAAGATGCAACGCAGTTCCTTTCACCGTTTCACGCCTAAACGACGAATTAAAAGTCCTTCAAAAAGACCAAAACGCGACGGGGAAATGAAATACAGAAAAGGAAAATAGAAAGACTGGAAAACCGGACGGACCAGTGGATCCATGGAGCCCTGAGAGCCTCACAAAACGTAAAGGACAAGCCCGCGACGCGTTCCTCTCGGTAACCCGTACCCACACAAAAAATAAAAAAAATATAGGGAAAAAAGAATCTAAAAATAAAAAAAGCCACAATTAATCCAACGGCCCACATCCCATCTCGGCCTTCCATATAATCCCCAATTTGTTTTCGCATTCGAAAAAGAAAGAAAAAAAGAAAAGGAGTCAGTTTCCTCTCTCACTCACTGCTTCCCCTCTGCTTCTTCTTCTTCTTCTTCTTCTTCTTCTCCGCCTTTCTTCTGCTTCCATCTCCCGTTTCCTCATTCGCTCTCTCTCGCTACCGTCTCCTTCTTCCTCCTTCCTTCGTAAGGTTTCCGCTCTTCTCTCTCTCTCTCTCTCTCTCTCTCTCTGTATCGTTGTATGTTGTTCTCTGCGAATTATCGGCAATGGCGGATCTATTGATTGATAGTGATTGGAGATGCTTCGTTTATGTTTTTCGCTGAATTTTGGGATTAGGATAGGGGAAGATCTCTGTTTTCGTTGCTATGGCTGTATTTTCAGAACCTATCGATAGATCTGTTGCCTCAACATCAGCTATTACTTCTATTTCTTGGGTCTTTGCTTGTATGGAGTGAGCATAATGGGGTGGGATATTGCGATTCTGCAATGGTTGAATCTGAATTATCAAAACGGGAACAAAATGTTGATTGAATTGTATTCATTGATGTTTCGTGCTTTGCCTGTGAGAGTTCCTTCGTTGGTTCCCTAGGAAGTATCGCTTAGTGGTCTGTCTTCTTTACATTTCGTGCTTTGGGTTCTTCTAGGTTGATTTCTTGTGTAATGTAGTTTCTGGAGGTTTGCTGAGGCAGTTTTTAGTGGACGGTGGTTGATAATTGAAGATAAGATGCTGCTGTCAATTGTCATGAGGCCATCATGCATTTATGAGAAAGTGATTGCACTCCTTGTATTGTATTCTTTTTCGACCTGCATTGATGATGCTGTGTGACAATTTGATGTTCACCAAACGAATGGATGTTGTTTGCGTCGTGTTGAAGTATTTGTATTTGTTATATTAATACAAATAGAACAATGTTTGAGCTGTTTTGGCTGATGAAAAGCTTGTATTGCAGTCCGTAGAAGATGGCAGATTCCGAGGATATCCAGCCCCTCGTCTGCGATAATGGAACCGGAATGGTTAAGGTTGGTAGTTGGGCTTTGTTTTCCTTATCCGAGACTACATTTGAACATGGAAAATTATATTGTTTCGGAAGATCAGTCTCATCTTTTAATTGTGTAATGTTCAAAGTTAGTTATTGAATTTCCCATTGCCATTATGGTGATTTCCTTGTCAAGAACGAGAATTATTTGTAGGAATTGTATTTTTGACCAAAAGATAGGAGCTTTACATGGGAGAGATGAATTATGGCGATGGTTTCTTAACTTCAGCTTTCAAGTTTTATTCGTTTTTCTGGCATCTGAGAGCTGATTCTGGTTTTCTTAGGCTGGATTCGCTGGAGATGATGCTCCACGTGCAGTGTTCCCCAGTATTGTTGGTCGTCCACGCCACACTGGTGTGATGGTTGGCATGGGTCAGAAGGATGCTTACGTGGGTGATGAAGCCCAGTCAAAGAGAGGTATTTTGACCTTGAAATACCCAATTGAGCACGGTATTGTGAGCAATTGGGATGACATGGAAAAGATTTGGCATCACACCTTCTACAACGAGCTCCGTGTTGCCCCTGAAGAGCACCCAGTTCTTCTCACCGAGGCTCCCCTGAATCCCAAGGCCAATCGTGAGAAGATGACCCAGATCATGTTTGAGACCTTCAACACCCCTGCCATGTATGTCGCCATTCAGGCCGTGCTTTCCCTATATGCCAGTGGCCGTACAACTGGTAAGCTGTTATGTTTTAGCTTGATGAAATATATCAGTGCGGCTTTTCACTTGCAATCAATGACATTTAGGGTCAACAGTTTTTCTAAGAAGTGTGTTTGTCTGTGATTCTATGTAGGTATTGTGCTAGATTCTGGTGATGGTGTCAGCCACACAGTCCCAATCTATGAGGGTTATGCCCTTCCCCACGCCATCCTTCGTCTTGACCTTGCTGGCCGTGATCTCACTGATGCTCTGATGAAGATCCTAACCGAGCGTGGCTATTCCTTCACCACTACAGCAGAACGGGAAATAGTAAGGGACATGAAGGAGAAATTAGCATACATAGCTCTTGACTATGAGCAGGAAATGGAGACCTCCAAAACCAGTTCATCTGTTGAGAAGAGCTATGAGTTGCCAGATGGACAGGTTATCACCATCGGTGCTGAGCGCTTCAGGTGCCCTGAAGTCCTCTTCCAACCATCCATGATAGGAATGGAAGCTGCAGGGATCCATGAGACCACCTACAACTCCATCATGAAGTGCGATGTGGATATTAGGAAGGACTTGTATGGAAACATTGTGCTCAGTGGTGGGTCCACTATGTTCCCTGGTATTGCTGACAGAATGAGCAAGGAAATCTCTGCACTTGCACCAAGCAGCATGAAGATCAAGGTGGTTGCACCGCCGGAAAGGAAGTACAGTGTCTGGATTGGTGGTTCCATCTTGGCTTCCCTCAGCACCTTCCAGCAGGTAATTCATCATTACTCTTGAATCCACATCTAGTTAAGTTGATAGACTGTTTTCTCTGGATTCTTGTCTGTCTAAAGCCCTCATGTTGCTCTTTTGTGTGCTCAGATGTGGATTGCCAAGGCAGAGTACGACGAGTCTGGACCATCAATTGTCCACAGGAAGTGCTTCTAAGCCGTCTTCAGTTTCAAAAAGGGGAAAACCAGCCTACGGAAGAACAAAGGAAGTACACCACCTGTTCTGCAATATTTCCAAGAGAGGACGATATTGCAACCCTTCCCCTCCTGTTCTTGCTTTGTTATCCTTCTATGTTTATTCTCAGGTGTTTGGAGTGATGATTTTGAGAAAGAGGTCACAAGTCGAGATAGCAACAAAAAAAAGCAAAAAGAAGGTCCCAATTGCTTTTTGTTTTACTATGTTAAGAAGCTTTTTTCTGACTGTTAGAATGCAAGTTTCTCCCTTTTTTGCGCTTGTAAAACCTATTCTGTTTATTCTCTTTTTCCCCCCACTCGAAGGTCTTCTGATTAATTGTGTTTGCGTTACTTATTCACAACATGAAAAGCATCAAAATTAATTAATGCATAGGCCTTTACATACCACACAAAACGGCTTTGTGTCTTTCATGAGAAATATTCATTATTTAGAGAGAAGAAACTGATGCTATGGCTGGATGTCACTGTTTACTAGTAAAGGGTGGTCGCATTCAATGGTGGGAAAACCCTCGTGTTCTTCATCTTCAGCTGATGGTTCATCCTGCGGAAGCTCGGTATAGGAATGGAGCCTTAGTTTGGGAAGATCGCAGCTTGAATTCCACCTGGTTATTGCCTTTAGTAGTATCCCGGCACCTGTGGAGTCAGGACTCTGGCTCTGGCTCTGGCTGCCATCGTCCGAATCTAAATCGTCTGCAGAAAGTTCTGCAGGAGAATGTGCTCTTTCTTGGGATAGATCGTAGCTGGAATTCCGCCAGGGTTTCCTGCTCGGGCTGCCATCCTCTGTATCAGATGACGACGACGACAATGATGTTGAAGGTTGTTCATTGTTGAATCTTCTTCCGAATCCTTGAATCCCTCGCATTAATCTTCGTTTTCGTGTTCTTTCTTCCATGAGAAACTCGCCGTCTTCAATTAGCTTTATCACCTTCAAGGACAGGTTTGCCAAGGTCAACCCCCAGTTGAAGCTGCATGTCACCAGAAAAGATAAAGAGGAATATGAATCACGTTCATCATAATCTCTCACCATCTGAGCTATTGATCACCCTAACCAATGGCTTTCTGTTCTCATTAACTAACCCATTTTCGTCGACGACCGAGAAAGAAAACCCAATCTTCCTGATAACATGCCTCTGCCTCTCAAACTCTTCAGCAACTCTCAGAGGTCCATGGGTGAGAAGGTGTTCTAACAGGAGCAAGGTCTTGTAATATATTCTCCAACTCTCTCCATCGAAGTTTATCAACCTGAACCACGAAATTCATCCAAAATCAGCATAGTGCAAATTTACATGAAAAAACCGCAGAATTATTACATCAACCTAACCTATATATATATATTACCTATCGTGTACAATTTCCACAATTCTGCAGTAATCGTCGACTTCGAAAGCTGCTCTCGAGATCACTCCCATGCTGCGTGTATCGGGCGGCCATACGTTTTCGCTTGTAGCTTCTTCTGCCAATCTTCATCCTCCAATGAAGGGAAAAGCAGACAACCCAGAAAAGGAAAAGAAAAGGAAAACAAAACCCATTTTAGGAAACGAGCAAAATCAATCAAAGCTGCAAGCCTTTTTTTTTTCATATGGCAGAAAGAACATGTTAAGGTGAGCAATGTTACAGTTGTGCGGGGGTGACATCGGTAAGCGCCAAGCGAGCAGTTTTGATCTTCTCTTTGAGGTAGAAGGAGGCCTGTCTCTTGAATTCCACCAGAATTGGGCTTCCCATTGTTGATTATGATTTAATTATGTTGCTCCTGCTTATTGCTTGAGATCACAGTATGGCGTTCTTGTGGAAAGATGATGAATGGATCATCAGGGAAAAATTCAAAACAACAGTTGTTGTTTCGAATTTTTCCCTGATAATATGAATGACTGATTGATACGATGAAGGAGAATTCTTGCTGCATATAAAGATTGGTCTTTTAATTAGTTGCAGTTAGGTGAAATTTTGGATGATAACTGTGTACGTAACTATGAACTTTCTCCACCATAACTGCTCCACTGTAGGAAGCAACCACAAGGGAAACAAACAAGGGGTTTATTAACTACTATTCCCAAAAGGGCGAATTAGGTTTGCGTAATGGGAACGATGAGTGAAATTAAGATTTGTTTCTTGTTATTTCCATGGAACGAAGGTGGTTACTGGTTAATGATCTAACAAATAAAAATTAATAACCAAAATTCGCTTTTGAGCTTTCCGTTTCTTGTGTTTTTACGGGTGAACTTGATCTTTCGGTGTTCAATTTATTTCGCTATTTGTTTTGAAAGTTTGACTAATTGAAACTGAGACATCAAAATTTTGGATAAACTTGAATTGTAATATAGTTTTTTTTTTAGTTACGAATGAACTTGATCGTTTATGATTGAATTCATTTCACCTTAGAGGCTTAGATCTTCATTTGTACTTGTAATTTTGTTAAGATGTGTTTTATTGAGCTTATAACTAAAGTTCACCTTATGACTTCCTGTCCATCCAACTGGTCCTAAAAATGTCAATGTACAATATCAGTTTTAGAGGTTGTATGCTTGGTGTATTTTCAAAACTAGTCGTTTTGTTAAATATAGATATTAGACAAATTTGGATATTGACAATGTGTTGTTTGTCAAAAAGGTTTTAAATGTGTACATGTTACATATATATTTTTTTTTTATGCGAATCAAAAAACTTGTATTGAAGCACCGGCAAAACATCAAGGAAAATCTTGATGTGCCTCTCAAACAATTACAACCAAACCAAAAGAAAACCTATCAAGGTATACTATCTATATACTCTAATTCCGCCTGGAGAGCAGGGTCACTAAATACTCTATGAGTTACATCAGCTTTCACTTGCTTCACTAATACATCAGGGGGTCGGATACCAGTTGAGCCATACAACCGGCTACATCTCTCACGCCAAACACAACTGATCACTGAGCTCCACATTAGCCGACACAAACCATGCCTGGAAGTCTTTTTCCCCCAGTGCCTACAACACCAGGTCACCACCGTAGCCCAGTCACCCTCCCCTGGGGGAGCCAGCTGCTTCATACATCCTCTGATCACCGAAACAGTGTAAGCACAGGAAACCAAAAGATGATGACGTGTTTCAACACCCCCTGGACACAGAAGACATAGCCCAGAAACCTGTTTTCCCCATGACAGAAGCTTATCCTGCAGTACCAATCTGTCTTGCATAGCCATCCATAGGGTAAAACCATGTCTAGGAATAACTTCCTTTGACCATACCAGTTTGTGCCATTCCACAGTAGGTTGCCGCTCTCTAATTGCATTCCACACTCGTTTAACAGAGTATCTTTGCATCTGCTGACCTTGCCAACACAGACTGGGGGGAACACCTGAAATAAAACCAGCAGCAATATCTCGACATTTCAAAAACTGCCTCCAAATCCATGTCCCTGCAGATAAGGTCGATATATCCCATAATGTCCTCTGCTTTAGTCGATACCTTGAGACCCAGGCTACCCAGAGTGAACCACCATTTGTCAAAATCTCCCAAACATGCCTTAACACACAGGCCTTGTTCCAGAGACTAAAATTTCTTATTCCCAGACCCCCTTCACTCTTTGGTAGTGCCAGTTTATGCCATGCCATCACAGCCCTCTTCCTTGTACCTCCATCAGCTGAGTCCCAAAGAAACTCATTGCACAACCTTTCTACCTCCTTAATTATATACTTAGGGAGCATAAAAATGTTAAGCCAATATTGCAAAGTACTAGAAATGACAGATGATATCAACTGAACTCGCCCTGCATAAGTCAATAACCGCGACCTCCAGCCTCTAAGTCTCTGTGTAATCTTATCAATTAACACTTGACAATCCTGCTTAGAGAGCTTACCAGTTATCAGAGGCACTCCCAGATATCTGAAAGGGAGGGATCCCAGAGGAAACTCTGTTATAGTGGAGATATACTGCTGCTCTTCCCTCGATATACCAGCACAGAATAATTGGCACTTGGCTGCATTGCACTTCAAACCAGATAGAGTATAGAATTTGTCCATCAACCTTCTTATTCCTGCCACCCCTCTCACTGAACCATTTGTGAAGACCATCAAATCATCTGCAAAACAAAGGTGCGTGATCATTAGTGGTTTACAACGTGGGTGGAAAGGGATCTGGTTCTCCCTTGCTGCTTTCCCAGCAAGACCATCCAGGACTTCCATAGCTATATTGAAAAGGTAGGGTGACAGAGGGTCACCCTGCCTCAAACCTTTTTGCGCCCTGACATTACCACACAACCCCCCATTCAGAGCTATCTTAATCATCGGAGTAGTTACACAAGCAATCAGAAGCTTCAAGAACCTAGGTGGGAACCCCATTGCCTCCATGACAGTAAACAAAAATTTCCAGTTTACAGAGTCAAAAGCCTTCATGATATCAATCTTTACCACACATCTAGGGCTTATATTTTTATAGTGATAATTCCTCACAAGCTCAGAAACTAACAAGATGTTGTCACTAATAGCTCTTCCTTTTATAAACGCAGATTGAGATCTGCTTATAACACTTGGAAGCACCTTTGCTAGCCTATTTGCTAAGAGCTTTGAAATTCCTTTGTATAACGTGTTACAACACGAAATAGGACGAAAATCCTTCATATTTTCGGCACAAGGAACCTTAGCTACCAATGTAAAAATAGTGCTGTTCACTATAGCAGGCATAATTCCAGTTGCAAAGAAAGAAAGGGTTACCTCTTCCACTTCCTTCCCAATGATGTCCCAGTGAGTTCTGAAGAATTCCGCAGGAAAACCATCCGGGCCTGGGGCCTTGTCCCGGCCAAGAGAGAAGAAGATACTCCTTATTTCTGTTCTTGTAATTCCCTGCAGTAGAAACTCTCCCTCTTCCCTAGTAAGCTTATGCTGTAATAACTCTTGATAAAAAGCTACTGACTGCTGCTGAACTTGTGAATCCTCAGTCCCAATTAATTTTGAGTAGAAGTCCACTGCAACTGAACCAATCTCCTGAATATCAGTAACAATTAACCCCTGATCATTTCGCATTCTGGTTATCTGCTGCCTCTGTGTCTTAACTTTGACCAACTTGTGAAAGTAGGCTGTATTAGAATCTCCTTCCTGAATAGCCTGAGCCCTAGATTTTTGCTTATAGTAAAGCTCCTCAGCCTTTTTAAGTTCTCCATACTCCAGTCCCAATTTCTGCTCCTCTGCAACATTAATATCACTAGGATCATTCAGTACCTTTTCCTGAGCTGTCTCCAGTGCCTCAACTGCCACCCTTACTCGACAAGAAATATCTGAATATGCTACTCGATTGAGTTGCTTCAGATCATTTTTCACTTGAGCAAGCTTTCCATAGAAGACATAAGAGGGGTACCCCACAACCTTCTTCTTCCAAGCATGTAGAATGATATCCAAATATTTAGGGTGGGATTGCCAAAACACAAAATATTTAAATGGTCTAGGTAAGGTCTTCAGGTTTGGATTTGTGTTCACAATCAGACCACAGTGATCTGATACTCCAGGAGGGTTTGTGTAAGCAGAACTATCCTTAAATCCTTCAAGCCATGCCTCATTAACAAGAATACGATCAATTCTACGAGCTATTGGATTGTCCCTCTGATGATTCCACCAAGTAAACCAGCTGCCAGTTGTCTTATGTTCTGTTAACTCCATACCCTGTATCCAATAACGAAAATCCTGCATACTCTGAGTTATTACCTGGATGCTTGAAGTATCAGTTACTTCAGAGATGGCATTAAAGTCCCCCATATAAAGCATTGGCACTCCATTATCCTTTAGTTTTACCAGCTCTTGGTACAGAATTCGACGATCTTCTTCCTTGTTAGGGCTATAGACAAAAACCACTGAAAAAGGCTTAACGTCATCAACCCTTACCTGTATATAGTGGCTACCTTCAGCAACCAGAGTAACTCTCAACCCTGCCCTCCAGAATATCCATACCCTACCATTATCAGACTTAGCATAATTTGATAAATGCTCCCAGGCAGAAAAACGACCCTTCACTATAGTATTTTTATTTACCTCCTTTACTCTAGTTTCTAACAGACCTATAATATCTATATTCTTTGCCCTCAGCTGTTCTAGTACTGCTGAGTGCTTATCAGGGGCATTGAAACCCCTGATATTCCAGCTTAGGATTCTCATTTGCGCTTCTTTCCTCTACCTCTCCCTTTTGGAGGGGAGGGAGGAAGAGGCTGAACAGCAACCCTCACAGTTTTCCCATTAGCCTGACCCGCAGCCAGCTTGCTCGATAGATTGCGTGGCCCTTGAGAAGTAGACCCTGAACCAACCCAGACCTTGTTCTTCTTATTTACCACCAGTGTAAAGCCGTCTGCATCAACCAAACCTCCCTGTGGCGGTGGAGTATTAGCATCTGCATTCTGAATAGCACCCACTGGTTCCTCAATCAGCACTGCCTTACCTTTATCAATCACACTTGCTGCAGGTGCAACACCATCCACAGCTTCTAGTACTGCTGCAGGCTCTGTCTGTATTTCCTTTCCTCTGTCTAAATTATCCGTCTGAATCTCGCCAATAACAGGAACCTTCTTCCTCCATTCTTGCTTTGCAGTCTCTCCTGTCATGCTGCAGCTATGCCCAAACATACTACACTTTTCACACACTTTCGGCATGTGGCAATACTCAACCTCAATGAATATCTCAGGTAGCCCATCTGGAGTAACACTCAGCTTCGAAATCTTCTTTGAACTGGCCTTTACCTCAATACAGATTTGAGCAGTTCCAACCTTCAGACCTCGAGAAGTGGATTTATCCATACAAAGTGGCCGACCCAGAGAGCTAGCTACACGCCCCAGCCCCTCTTTAGAAGTCAGTTCTGTTGGCAAATGCGTGAGTTTTACCCAAATTGGCAGAACCGAGTTATCTAGCTTCAAAGGGCTAATCCCTAGCTCCCATTTTCGCAGAAACAGAGGATTCTCCCTATGATGCCAAGGTCCGCTTTCGAAGACCCATTGACAGATCTCGGCATTTGGAAATTGAAAGAGGACTAACCTTCTCCCCATTCCCGATACTCGCACTTCCCCATCCTTCCCCCAGATCCAATTTGCCCAG